GGGCAGAAGGGGAGATACCGCAATTGTTTAGCACACGTTTGGTCAAAGGATCGGCTTCACTTGTCTCTTTCACGAGTTGTAATCTGGTAATACGAATGGTGAGACATCACGGCCGCCGACTACGATGCCGGCGAAACGTCTGGGAATGTACCACGTCCACGGTCCTACTCTGGAAATGATGATGGTTTCGGACAAGGTGCATTCTTCTAAGTCTTCCTACCAATATGACCGAGTTGCGAAAACAAGGTCAAACAATTTCTATGCTCAACGATAATTCACCAAGCACGATTCGAAAAAAACAATGACCGGCTTCGAATCTACCTACTTCTTATGGATTAACTATGCTCACTTAATCGGATATCTCGCAACTTCGTCTTCTAGTGAGACCCAATTCCTTTCCATTTGCCTCATACGAAATGAACGATTTGTTAAAGGATCGTACGAAAAGCACTTTTTCTGTATAACTACTTAGCAATTATTTATGCTTGTCGTACCCTCGAACAACAGGTTGGCTGATAGAGCGTCAAGGAAGTGACTGCAATACGGTGACAGGGTTCATGACGGGAGGTACTAATAGCGACTGAATTCTGGTTTGGCTGACACTACACACAGAAAATGGCCATTCGATGCGCATTCAGACAAATCCCTTTGTTTAATGATTTAGACCAGATGATTTAAGTAAAATTTGGATTCTCACAATTTTTCAACTTGTATGTGCCTTTCCTCTCAATTGGTTCGGAAATCGGATCGTGCACAATGCAGCAACAAGAATTAGGGTTACTCTCAAAATAGGCTTATGGGCAAAATTGTGCTTTTATCTTTAATTGCCCCCATCGGAAATTGGAGAGTCATTTTGGCGCTGGGAATGTAGAATTGAGCCTCGCTCTACTATTTAATTTGTGTTTTTTGGTGTTTCCTAGAGAATGGTCTAGTGCTTTGATCATGATGTCTGTCATGGAGGAATATACAAAAGCTTAGAAATGATTCAGCAGAATGATATTTCTCTGTGATTGTTGATTAAGACGAAATACAACCTCGAAAAATCTAACATCCAGGGATTTTTCCAACTCATATATTTTTTCATATACACGCCTCACATGCAGCGATTGTGCTTCGAAACTGTTTTTCAATACAAAACTGTGCAAAGGCAAGTGTTGCTTTCGCATAAACTACCTCCTTGAGCAAGGCTTTATGTGATGTGACTGCGTTATTGTCTGCACAATATGCACGCTCTTTTGAGCGCCTTTTCGAAAGGGATTTTTGTGCATCCTCCATTCTGTAGAGTTGCCCGGTTCAACAGCTCACAACCCCAAAGTGTGAATAGATAATGTCAACATTTCTGATGTCCTGTTTGAAGCATAGATCTCCGTCTACCGTGTGTTTTAGGGCACAAATCCTCCTCCACGCTGCTGCCATTCTCATAGAACTGGATCTTTCCGGACCTTGACCAACCTTCTGTAGAAACAGTTGAAAGATTGACGAGTTGTAGCTTGGTGCTGAGAATGGCAAGAGGCACTGATGATGCCGGCGAAACGTCGGAGAATGTACCAAGACCACGATCCGACGCTGGGAATTATGATAACTTCTATAGCAGGGGACTTCCGACAAGGGGGTCCAACTAAGTCGCCCTGACAACAAGACCAAGTTGCGAAAACGAGGTCAACCCACTTCTATACACCATACCGAGGGCCACACCATCTTAGTCTTCATATCTTCGAATAATGTCTTGAGCCTGAAACTCCACTCCCTGGCTCGAGTCTTCTCGAGGGTGCACGGTGGGCAGTATCAGCAACAAGATAAATGGTTCGCCTGTCTCCTGGGTATCGAAGTGCACACAAGAGTGTAAGAAGCAGCATAGATCACGTTTGGTAACCGGGTCTCTGTTCTCGTCTGGTTGTCCGTCTCTCCGTCGGTTGCCGTGAGCGACCTAAGCCACTTTTTGGGGGACGAAATTGCGCATTTCGGCCTTAGTTGAAGCCGAATCGGCAACCCGTTAGCGACTGACATCAAAGATTTGATTTGAAATCCTACAGCCTCTCCGGACGGAGACCAAAGCAATTTGATCGGTCCATCGTCTGTGTCCAGCCCAGAACCCGGTTTTGACCCTCCTCCCTGTGTATGTGTGTTTGTGTGTGTGCTGTTTGACCATGATTCGGGTATGTACCCCCGAGATTTGCAACATTTTCACCTGCTCTAAGGTGGTGGAGGCTCGTCCGCATCAACTCAAGCTCAGCGGCAAGCCATTTCGGTATCGGAGACTGAAGGTCGAGCATC